ATTAATTTTCCAAAACAATTTAAAAACATTTAATTCAAAACAATATTTAAATATCCATCAGAGTAAATCAAAACGGTGCGGAAGCCTTTAAGTACTTAATCAAAATACAACTTTGGGTTCTTGCCCTTAAGAATATAATAATTCAAACTCAAATATTAAATTAGATAACTCCTCCAGCTAGCATCCACCCATCTCTTCACCCTCACTGCCTCCAAGACTGTCTCATTATTCATCGTTCCTGTTACCTACGTGTAGCAAATAAGAAAAAGGGCTACACGCTCAGCAATGAAGCTGAATGGAATCTATCTAACATTTGACTAAGTACATAGACGAACCCACTAGCTCATAATTTCATACAATATCATGCACACAAGTACAACACCAATAACATCATCAATATCATGTAATTCATCAATTAAGCATAATTATCACAATTACCAAACTGATCTCATAATCCACTTCTTTATCTCTAGGCTCATAACCTATCCTAGGCTAAGGCCAACTACTTTATTCTAGAGTCCTCATTCAACCACATCCATGGAAGAACCCGCTCGATACGACGTCATCCAACGTCGGCTGGGTGGGACCACCTACTCACATCCATGAGCAGATCTGCGACCCCCGTGCGCACGCTCTACCCAACTGATCATGCGTGCACGACGGCTCATCACATGACCAGTTATTCCTAACTGTATTCCTTATTCTGTTTCCTCGGTCTACCTATAGTTCAGCTAGGTAGCCTATCCGTATGCAAATTCATAATTCCATATTTCGAAATTAATACAAGAACACAATATGTTAAATAAAATTCATAGTCAACAATGAACAAATAGACGCAGAACCGATCGAACAGTCTGCCGGTCTGGTACCCCTTACGGTACCTCGGTACCGCCAGGCGGTACCTTGGTACCGTTGGTCCGGTACCCCCGTACCGTGCGGGCGCAGGTACCGGCAGTGGAAACCTTCAGTGGCGGTAGCACGGTACCGCTAGGCGGTACCTAGCTACCGTCTGACGTCGGGAAGTCACCGGAATGACAGATTTCGATCCAATTCCAAACCTTACAATATGTACAACGTTTTTAAAGATTATTATCATGCAAATCACACACTTTAGAGTAGGAATACGTACCTCGTCTTTCTCGTTCAATCAATTCCAATATCATCATAAAATATGAATAAATCATAATTCAATTATAAACAAATAAACTACGTAATCAATCATACGAAACTACAAACGTGAATTTCAAATCCATCTACATAATCTCGCGTTAGATGTGCAAGTTCTGACCTCGATTACTCAGACGAATTAAACAAAACTGCAAGTGGGCGAATAGCTTCCGGCGAACAAGCGGCGAAGTAGCAGCGCCAAATGTCAGCGGCGGTCTCCTTCTTGCGTCTGGCCTCCTTC